GAGATTTATCAATAATCTTTGACGTCAATTTATCAGAAACATAATCATATACATACTTTGAGAGTAATATATTTTTTCTGAGTGTTTATATATTATATTTGAAATATATATGTATAAACAAACGTATTATCTAAAGATCAAATTCTATTTTTATGTGCCAACATCAATCGACAACTAAGAAATAATAGAAGAAATATTTTATATGAGCTCAAAGTGCTCTACACTAATTTTTATTTACATAACACAAGAATAAAACAACAGATGCTTTTTTCACGAATTATACAAATATATAGATAAATATGACAGATGTAACGACTTCTGATATCAAATCAGACAATTTATGAGAAAGATATAATAGTACAATCAAGAAAAAAAACGGAAGGAGACAATATAATAAAAAATAGCCGTTATTCATACGATAAATATTTGTTATACTTGTGAAACTTAATTAATAGTAATCATATCACAAATGAGGATTTATACAATTATTTAAAAAATGTTTCCTATGAGAAGTAATGTTTTCGTCGCTACTAATCTTCATTGGAATCCACACGATTGGGATCCAAATATGGACCTAACTCTCTATAGAATGCAACAAGGAATCAATTTTCTCCCCTGCTTGTCTGAACATCAATCCTACAATGACTTTTTGATGGCATCAAACCAGAATTACTTTTTTCTCGACCAGCGCTACTTTGCATCGCAGTTCAATCCATATTCCACTTATTACATGTGTTTGAACACGAAGAACTTATATGCATCGCTGTTTGGTAAACATCGTACTTACTTTCACAAATATTGCTATTTGTAAGCGATATCACGCTATACTTGCTAATAATATAGAGTGCCTCATCGTGTTTTCTTCTTGTCTGTTTCATAATTCGAAGTCTTTGACAAATTTCATTTCAATTTTTTTTTATAAAAACACTAAGAAATTCTATAAACTACTTTAACTTTTTGACATTTTAATATATAATTGTAAAAATTCGATTTAAAAAAAAACAATTGTCCTGAGTTAATTTATTATTATTTAGTAAGTATAATTTAGAGATTCCTTCTTTAAAAAAATATATTGAAAGATGTGTTATAATATGCAGCTTTCCAAGCTTTGATGTTATATATTTTTATACATGTAATAAATATGTGTAGTAAATATTTAATATAGTATATACAGTAAATAAAAAAACACGATAATATTATTCAAGAGTTAGTTGGCACAGGATGGTATTTGTTTCACATTGTATAGTTTCATATCTCGGTCGTGACTCTACATACAATAATTACTATGCTATGAGACGCGAGTTTAGTTCATGTCACTGCATCACAATAGCTTAATTTCCATTTGAAATAAATATTCCATTAAAATAAAATTCAATGCAAATTTATTAGAAGATGTATCTTCTCCTTGTCATAGATCTTTGTCTTTTTAATTTTCTATTTTTTTTTATCGTTTATAATTCAAAATCGATTAGTACCTTGACTTTTTCGATTAAAAAGATTGATTAAACTTTAACCTAACTCCAAGTTAGTTGAAAAATTCAAGGAGCTTAAAAAAACATATAAGTGAAAGGAACGGTGAAAGCGATGATGGTCTTACGTAATTCCATGATATATAACTATTATTACATTACTAGGAACTATTTCTTAAATGCCTTGAAAAATTCGACTATCAATACAAAATATCCTCATCACATCTCATGATGGATAATCATTATCTTTAACTATTTCAACGCAACTTCATTGTTGCGCTAGACATACGTCACTCATACATCATCAAAGCGCATTGACATTAACAGTCAATTGTCAATCTGATGATATGAATGCGCGGTGGCTGCATATACGGCTAAGCGAAATATAATTGCTCTACGAAAGCTATGAACGATGGGTTCTTGTAATAATCTACGGAGATAGAAGATAAAGATCCGATTCGATCTCTTTGATTTGATAATCACGATTTGCGATATCACAGTACGTCACGAGTCCAGAAACGAATAATCCGTCCGATCAATGTCCATAGCGATCGATCTATTAATAGCTCGGAAACTGCCACCTAAGTACTCGCAATCACAACCTGGCCTTGTCAACTGCATTCCTTCCTTGACCTCGAGCAACCATAGTCTCCATAGTCACATTCTTTTTGCGATAAGCAAGAGAACGACTATTACACTTGTATTACATGTATCGTTTCATAGTATATAATCTTCCGATTTAAAGAGAAGAAAGCATTCTTTTCTATAATATAAAAGAAAGCAAAATGGCTTTTTTCTCCTTTTGTTTTGTAAGATTTCTTTAATTAAAATGAGATTATTAGAAAATTTAGATTTGTGTGATTTGTGTGTTTTATATACATATATAAAAGATAGGAATAGTTGAACAATTGAAAAGAGAATA